CGTCACAGAACATTCCTTTAGTAAGTATTACAAAAATCTCAGGAATTGGAAAATATGGTATTTTTTTAGTATATTTAAAAATCCCGAAAATCAGAATTTGAATGAATTAATTATTAAAGGAAACAATGGGGATGMACATGCTTGATGAATCACCCTGTATAATAATCAATTTTAAAACGATAGAATTTTTTTTTTGTATTCATCAATGATTCACCGCGTATAGCATGTCCAGTCTGTATTTTACCAGTCATTCTGGTCTATTGTGTGGTCTGAATATAAAATGTATAGCGCACGCGACTGATTGTCATGAACTGTTAAGGAAACTTGCCTAAGCGCCATAATGGAATGCCAAATAGCTTTTATCCATAGAATAATGATTTTTCATTCATACGTTGTAAAATATAATACCTATGGTCCTACAGTTACTAAAAAGACTTCTTGATAAAAAAAATAAAAAAAATACAATCATTACTCTTCCTTCATCACGTACATATTATAACGACATAACGCTTAGATATCATATAGCAATTAAAAACATAATTCAAGTAAAAAAATATACATTATTGGATTCTGAATCCTTAAAATAACATTTTCTACAGATATTAAATTAAAAAATAATTATAAATATTAAAAATCTCTTATTATTCAATGTTAAWTATTATGGTAAACACATAGATAAATTATGATGCAACTAGGATGTTTCAKCTATTGGGCTACATTTTGCAAAAGTATAGTAGAACAAAAAATTAATTTATTACTCGATTAATATTAACTATATCTAATAACTATTAACCATTATAATCTATTTATGATTACATTTTATGTCATCGAATTCAATAAAGTACAATATGTAAAAGGTAAAAAAATCTAATAAATTGCTAGTTTGAGTTCGCYTAGTTCTAGAGGATATTTATATTTCATCAATATCAACAATATAATATAAACCAAATAAAAGCGGCTATAGGGTTGTAACTTTTATAGGTAAGTACATTATTCAATAATTATATAAAACCCACTGTAAGTACCCACTATGTATTCAATTTGATCGTAAATTGTTATTATTGTGTCTAGGTAACTTATCACCTGCTGTGTTATTTATCAATAATTGGGTATTTCTGYCCCAACGTCTGAAAAACAATCGATAACTTTGCACATTTTTCAACCACTGCTGCGACACACGATGAGTGCCAGTAACGATGACTGTAATAAGACCGACGTATCGATAAACATTTCTWTATAGGTACCTACAAATACCTATATAGTATTATATATACGGCATACGCGGTTCATCCCTCCAAAAGAATTTTAATATGTGGTCGAGCAACTCGCCAGAGGGTGTGTCTAATTTTATTGTGTCGGCGAGCTCTCTCTCTTATCAGCCGTGTCGGATCAAATTCGTTTGGACTTTGTCTCAACCGAGTTAAAACACACACGCACGTCGTCGCAAGTAAGCACATTACATTACTATAATATATGTTACATATTATACATCTATATCTACAAATACCCACGTGGATACATTTGTGGACGTACGACTTGGTCCGAGGGGATGGTCGGGGGAGAGGGTCAACCGGGTGCTAAGAGAAGATGGCATAGGTAGGTATAATAATATATATATAATGTATAATATATATGGCGTATAGGTATAGGCCACACGGGTATGTATGCATTATAAATGTTTTGGAATGTCCAATGGTTTTGGAATGCTACTGCGGGTGGTATATACCTACCGTGTATCTTCTTCTTTTTCTCATGCCCCCACACGGCCGTACATATTATTATTATACATGTATATACAACACGTATATTATTATTATTATTATTAT